GAAGAAGAAGAAGAAGAAGAAGAAGAAGAAGAAGAAGAAGAAGAAGAAGAAGAAGAAGAAGAAGAAGAAGAAGAAGAAGAAGTTGTAGCAGAGAATTATTCAACAGCCAGAGAGGTGGCTCATGCCTGTAATCCTAGCTACTTAGGAAGCTGAGATCTGAAGATCATGATTGGAAGGCAACCCAGACAGGAAAGTTAGTGAGACTCTTAGCTCCAATTAACTATCAAAAAGCCAGAAGTGGAGCTGTGGCTCCAGTGATAGAGTGCTAGCCTTGAGCATTAAGGCTTAGAGACAGAGCTCAGGCCCTGCACAAAATAAAATAAAATCTTTTCTTCTTAAAGTACTCTAGATCCCCAAAGTAGAAGAAATGGAATTCTTGTGATCTAGGTGGCCCAATACTGGTGGAAGTGGAGGCTGGGGGTGGGTAGGCAGGGATTTCTCTTTCCGGTTCCTGGAAATGATCTGTTTCTTTCCTACAGAGGTCGCCAGAGGCCATAGGAACCGAAGCCAGATTTCTGGGAGGTGACTCCCAGAAGGCAGCCAAGAATGTGAGTGTAAAGGTCAGTAACTAGGCTTCTTCATCATCATCAACAACAACAGAGGCCTGCCTGCCACTGAAACCCTCTCTGTCTCCTTTGAGCCCCTCCGAAACCAATGCACGTGTTATCTGAGCTGACCTACATAGCTTGCTGCACAGACACCTGCTTTCACTGGCTCTCCAAGCACTAGGTGCCTATCCTTTTCCCCCAAAAAAGAATCTCAGGCCAGGACTAACTTCCAAAAGGCATATTTTCCTGGTCTTCCAAAAACATGCTGCATGATCTTCTCAGCCTTTTTATCTTTATTTTTTTAGTACCAATCCTGGTGTTTGAACCCAGGGCACTCTCCCAGAGCTTTTGTTGTTCAAAGCTAGCACTCTACCACTTGAGCCACAGCACCACTTCCAGTTTTCTAGTGGTTTATTGGAGATAAGAGTCTCATGGATTTTCCTGCCTGGGCTGACTTTGAACCATGATCCTCAGATCTCAGCCAACTGAGTAGCTAGGATTGCAGATGTGAGCCACCGATGCTTGGTTTTTTTATTTTTATTTTTCCTGGTTAATTAGAGATAAGAGTCTCATAGACCTGAGCTGACTTCTAACTGAGACCCTCAGATCGCAGCCTCCTGGGTAGCTAGGGTTACAGGAGTGAGATACTGGGCCAGTTTCTCAGTCTCTATTTACAGGAAAGAATGAAGCAGAGAAACCTAATGGCTTGCTCAAGGTAAAACAGCACCATAAAAATGACCTGTGGGTCTTATGTTTTATTCTTTGGCTTCCCCAATGATATCCTGGAAACCCTGACACCAAATCCTTACCCATAGAAGTCAGGAAAAAAAATACTAACTTCAAAATACTGGTGTTCACACTTAGCTGAGGTCGCCACTGTTTTGTGTTGACTGATCCCTCTTCTCACCTGTTACAATACAAAAGTTGAGCACAAACGCACTAGGAGATGGCCAGTAAAGTGCTGGCCAATTCCTTACTCTCAAAACAATGCTATCTTCCTGTTTAAGCAGTGATCTGTAATTTCAGATTGTTTCCTCAGAACCTCTAGGAGAAATCTCACAACAGGGCCGGGACTCTGGAAGAAGCAGTATCTTTGTGAGCATTCCAAAGACAATACGAAGAACACTAATATGTTTCAAGAGAATTACCTCCTTACAATAGTCGCTCCTACAGAATCCTTAAGGAAGCAGAGGCAAAGAATAGGCTGGAGGGGTTGGGAAGGTGGCTCAGTGGTAGAGTGCTTGCATGCATGAGGCCCTGGGTTCCATTCCTCAGCACCACAGAAGCAGGGGAAAAAAGCTGGAAGCGGGCCCTGTAGCTCAAGTGGTAGAGCGCTAGCATTGTGAAGAAGAGCTGAGGGACAGCGCCCAGGCCCAGAGTTCAAGTCCTATGACCGACAAAAAAAAAAGCTGGAAAATCCATGCAGCACTAGCTTGAATGCACCTGTAATCCTAGCTACTCAGAAGGCTGAAAACTGAGGATCACTAGTCAAAGCCTGCCTGGGGAGGAAAATCCATGAGAGATCTATATACATACATATATATATATATGAATATGTGTATATATTTACATATACATAGACACACATGCATATAAATAAGTATGTATGTATATAAAGTGTATATGTATTTATAATGTATATAAAAAACTTTATATCCAAAAAACTTTTTTTTTTTTTGGTTGTGGGACTTGAACTTGGGGCCTGGGTACTGTCCCTGAGCTCTTTTGCTCAAGGCTAGCACTCTACCATTTGAGCAACAGTACCACTTCCAATTTTCTGGTGCTTCATTAGAGATAAGGTCTTAAGGACTTTCGTGTCCAGGTTAGTTTCAAACCAAGATCTTCAGATCTCAACCTCCTAAGTAAGTAGCTAGGATTATAGGTGTGAGCACCTAACTACACTGAATAACTCGTGTGTGTGTGTGTTTGTGTGTGTGTGTGTGTATTAGAGGGACAGTACTGGGGCTTAACCTCAGGCAGGGCCTTGCATTTTGCTAGGCAAGCACTTTTTATCACTTGAGCCACACCTCCTCACTTCAGCCCTTACCTTACTCATGTAATTTTTAAATTGCTCATAAAAATTAAATTTAAGAGCTACTTTTAACATTAGCTCTACCCACTTATTTGTACGCTTGGACACAGAAGGCACCACAGGAAGCCAAACCAGCATTCTACAGCCTGCCAGCAATTTCTCAAGTGATGTCAACTAGCCCTCCTTGCTCTCCCCTTACAAGTTCCCGGAGCCCACTTTCCCCATTAACCATTATCCATCAAGAGGTAGCTCCTCAGAGAAAAGCATTTTCCTCAACCTCATATCGATTAGTGCTACCTCCAGCGCCCATCCTCCGGTCAGTCTCCTTTGCTCTCTCCTCTCACCCATTCTGGGAAGATTATAGAAAAACCTCAGCCACCTACTTGATCTTGTCTGATCTTAAATACAATCAGGAAAGCAGCAAACAAATCAATAAATGGGTTTTATTTTGGGGGGTGCTTTGTTTGGTTTTTGGATTTGTTTTTGTTTTTCTGTTAAGCACTGGTGGCTCACATCTGTAATCCTAGCTACTCAGGAGGCTGAGATCTGAGAATTACGGTTCAAAGCCAGCCCAGGCAGGAAAGTCAAGGAGTCTGTTAACTCCAATTAACCACCAGAAAACCAGAAGTGGCGTGGTGGCTCAAGTGGTAGGGTACTCTCCCTGAGCTCTTCAGCTCAAGGAGAGCAACCAGGCCCAGAGTTCAAGCCGATGATCAACCAAAAAAAAAAAATGCTCAGGGACAGCATCCAGGCCCTGGGTTCAAGCCCCAGAACTGGCACACACAAAAAAGTATGGGTATGTTAATATATAGATGAAAGTCAGTTTTTTCAAAGTAGGGTCTGATCATTTACATTTAATCCAGATCATCCACTTGCTTTTCTTTTTTTTTTTTTTGGCAGTTGTGGGGCTTGAACTCAGGGCCTGGTTCTTTCGCTCAAGGCTAGCACTCTACCACTTTGAGCCACAGCTCCACTTGGGGTTTTGAGTGGTTAATTGGAGATAAGAGTCTCAATAGGACTTTTCTGCTGGGGCTGTCTTCAAACTGTGATCCTCAGATCTCAACCTTCTGAGTAAATAGGATTGCAGGTGTGAGCCACCAGCACCCAGCACTAGATCATCCACTTTAACCAGGCCCTGATTCTCCAAGTGCCTCTCCCCTCCCCAACCCACGCTCACTGCTCATCTATCTTTCCATCCTGCAACCAACCTTTCTGAGATAAGAACTAAGTGGGAAGCAAAGTAAACAAGTAATGAATCAGACAAGGTCTTAATTAAAAATACCTTTTAAAAAATTGCCAGAGTTTCCTAGCAGGTAGGCGGTACTTGGTATTTATGATTGCTATCAACATCAGCATCCTCAATGCCTTGTGTTCTGTGGGCTTCTGATCTAGCACAAAAGATAACCTATGAGAACCAGATTTCAAGGTATGAATGTCAAGGCCATTTGAAAGGGCTTTGTGCTCTAAAAATGGGAGGACCACACTTCTTTTTTTTTTTTTTTTAAAGCATAGGTATGAAATGATGAGGGACACTATAGAGAGATTAAACTGGCAACCTATTGTAGGAGTGAATAAAACGGGGGGGGGGATATTACAAGTATAGAGATTGCCTCCCCCGTCCTTTCCCTCAAACAAGAGGAAGGTCTGGGGGGAGGACCACTCATCGAGTCCAGCTTCTAGCATCGCAAATGAAACAAAGACTAAACTGAGATGCTTCCCTTATGAGAGGGGTCATTTTCACTGAGTAGTGAGTAGGGTGGGGTCCTATTTATGACACAAGAGGACAAGCCCCTCCCTTCTGGAGAGAGTGTGGGACACACAGCCATCTTCCTCATCCCTCCCCACGTCAAGACAGAAGGCACAGAGCACATCCACTTGGTACAGGTGTGGGGGACCAACAGTACCAATCCACTAGGAAGACCAGAGATGCCAGGATGAAGGATTGGAATCTAAAGGGAGATGCCCTCCTGAGAGACCTGTGAGGAGGGACAGCTGGGCAGGGCTGAAGGATGAAGCCTGGGAGACCAACATCTCCTATGAGGGAAACAGCAGTGGAGCCAGGTTCTGAGTCAGTATTCGGGTCAGTGTGGGAACCTGAGCCACACTCAAGACCCATAGAACCCGAGACAGAAAAGACTCAGCCAGGATCAAAGACGCAGCGGGAATCCACACAGCCAAAACTCCTTGACCAGCAGGAGCCCCTTGCCCAACGAGAAGCGGAATCCCAGCAGGAACCAAAAAACCAACAAAAATCCCCACCAGAGTGTGAATCGCAGCAAACATGTGCCACGCGTAGTACACACTTTTATCAGCAGCGCGCCAACTCCCAACAGAAACCTGGGCCAGGGTCTACAGCTCCACAGGAGCCAGAATTGAGAGAGGGACTTGTAGGTCAGTCAGAACCAGCAGAACTATCTCTAGCTCAACGAGAAGTGGAATCAGCTCCCACAGCCCAAACTATACTTGAACCCCCAAAGATATGTCCTGCCCAGACTGAATCTACGTCCCAAGTTAGACCCGAACAGCCAGACCGTGTGGCCCAGACCACACCTCCTGTCCAAAGACCCAAAGGTAAGCAGGGATTTTTAACTGAGTGGGGATTTTTAACCAGACTTCATGAACTATCCATCCAGCGATCAGCCCAAGAATGGAGGTCATTTTTTGAATGGGCCACAGATTCCGACAATGATTCAGAAGTGACTTCATCTTCAAAGACAAAACCTCTAAAGAAAATCAGTGAGACAATGATCCCAGAAGTGAATCCAGCCTTAAAACAAACACCTAGTTTCGAAGCTGTGTCAGGACATGGTGGGACACCGCCACATAGGAAGAAAACCAACGCCCAGAACCACAAAAACTACAGGGATCCAGGTGAGTCTGAACCCAGAGAGCTAGAGCCTCTTATTCTGACATTCAAGACAGGGGAAATCCTTAAGTACTCAGAGGTTGAGGATCCTGGTTTAAAGTGTACCCTGGGGAGGAAAATCTATGACTTTTTTTTTTTTTGCTAGTCCTGGGCACTGTCCTTGAGCTTCTTTTGCTCAAGGCTAGCACTCTACCACTTGAGCCACAGTGCCACTTGTGGCTTTTTCTGTTTGTGTGGTACTGCGGAATGGAACCCAGGCTTCATGCAAGCTAGGCAAGCACTCTACCACTAAACCACATTCCCAGCTATATACCAGCCTTGATCAGAAAATGCTGAGATAGTGCCCAAGCCTTGAATACAAGCCCCAGAACTCCTCACCCCACCCCAATTCCCAAAGAGTAGGGAGATTAAAACTAAAAAAGATGATGAGGGGTGTGCAGGACTCACGCTTGTAATCTTAGCTACTCAGGAGACTGAGATCTGAGGATCATAGTTCAAAGCCAGCCTGGGCAGGAACACCCAGGAGACTCTTATCTCCAATTAACCATCAGAAAACCAGAAGTGGTCCTGTGGCTCAAGTGGTAGAGTGCTTGCCTTGAGCTGAAGAGCTGAAGGACAGCACCCAGGCCCAGAGTTCAAGCATCATGACATACAAAAAATAAAGAAAAAAAATTAATAAAAGACCATACCCAGTGCCCCTGGCTCATGCGTATGATCCTAGCTACACAAGAGACTGAGATCTTAGGATTAAGGTTCAAAGCCAGTCAAGGCAGGAAAATCCAAGAGACTTATCTCCAATTAACTACTCAGAAAAAAGCTAGAAGTGGTGCTTTAACTCAACTGGCAGAGCACTAGCCTTGAGCAAAAAAGAAGTTCAGGGACAACTCCCAGGCCCTCAGTTCAAGCCCGATAATTGGCAAAACAAACAAACAAACAAAAAAGATGATAAGGGGATTAAAAAAGTTCAAAGATAGCTTAAGCTACAAAATGAGATCAAGGCCAGCCTGGGGGCTCAAAAATAAAAGAAATACTAAGATTTTACTTTGTGCTAGGGAGGCTCAAGTTATCTTTCAACAACCCCTTGAGGTAAAAACCCACATCCCCAGTGTAGAGATAAGGATGACGAGCTATTAAATTTAAAAAAAAAAAATCTGATTTAAAGTGACACCATTAGAAAGTAGAAATGTAGGATTTGGGCGCTGGCTTTCTCTCTACGAAGGGTTTGGGGGAAATCAGAGGTAAGAAAAAGAACTCTAGGCCCAGAACCAGGAAACCAAGGACTCCTCAGTCTTCCCGAGTTTATTCCCCTATGCATAAAAAACAGCTGAGCACCCGAGGTGGGGCAGATACTGAGGTAAGCACGCGCAGGGCAGTGCTCAGGGTGGACCTTACCCTGTTGAGTATCGCTGTAGACAATCCGGGCATTCACCACCACCATTGCCAGGTGGCCTCCATAATGACTCAGTTCAGCCAGGCAGGGTGGCCTTGGGGGGCTGCAGTTCTCGGGAAGGAGGAGTCTGAGAGAGGGGCAAGGTCAAGGGGAGGGTGGAGGGAAAGGCGGGGAGCAGCATCTGATGAAGGGGGGGGGGGCTAAGGCTCTGGTTCTTCCCGGGGCTCCTCCGAAGCAGGCCGCAGTGGCCATTAGGCACCAAGGTCTGTTGCCACTTGGGCCCCGATTCTCCTTTTCTAGATTTTTCTTGGCTGTGGAGAAGGGGGAGTTGCAAGTGTTGACACGTGTTGTGGTGGTTAAAAGTATCCTAAAGGGGTAAAAGCAATGCAATTCCAACCCTGAAGCTGAGGCCATAATCCAGAAGGCGGCCATTGGTGGTCTCTCCGGCCCTGGAGTGGGGAAGCTTCTTGAAGGGTTGGGCGGCTCCTGTCTGAGTGAAGAATGGGTCTTAGTGCCAGCGCTGGGTGTGTAAGGCTTTTCCGGGAAGGAGGAGGGGAGCTAGGATACGGGAGAAGGTTCAAGGCCTGCTTTTTCTAGTGCCGAGGACGAAGAACTTCCTCCAGGCCTCCACACCCCAGGCCTCCGCTGGCCGCCTCGCGCCATCCCTCGGCTGGTGAGGACACGCATGCGCTCTCGCTGGCTCTCGCGGGTGCCCCCCCCCCGCCCCCACACACAGGCAGTTGGCTTTGTGCGCATGCGCGAGCCTCGAGTCGCTGGGTTTTCCCGCCTTTTCTGGAGACCGCATGCTCCCTCCGCTTCCTCGCTTGCCCCTCGGCCTGCGTGCTACCACCCTCTCCTTAACTCTCGTTCTGGGGGCAGAGGCAGAAGAGCAAATAAGTGGACTTGGAGGCGGGGCTTCCTGCTTCAAAGCTGGCCCCGCCCTCATTTTGAGTTGCCAGAGTGCCTCCTCCCCTTCCCCCCCACATCCTCTACCTCCCCAAACCTCCAAGTGGAGGCTCAGCGGCTCCTGCTTCCCCCCCCCCTCCTCCCGGCAGGAGATCTGAGCAGCATTCTGGGGAGTCCTTCTGTGGGAAGGTGAGTGGTATAAGGGAGGCACCATCAGGTGAGAAAGGATTAGGGCGCCCCTACTGGGAGACATCCCCTCCCCAGGGCTCTCTCCAGTCTTCCTGTCCCCAGGATGCTTTTACCGCCGCCTCCAGGTCTGCATTCTTGTTGGCCGCTGTCCCTTTAATACGAGCCGACGGGGCGGGGCCAGGCCTTCAGCTTTAGCTGTCGGGGCGGGGCTCCGCCAGACGCAAGCACGGGATTGGCTGACGCGGGGGCCCGGCGGTGGTGTGTAGAGTAAGGATTGACCCGAGGGGCGGGGCCGCGGTTGTTGGAATTGGGCCCAGCACCCGGGGATCGTGGAGAATTGATGGAGTCAGCCCGGGGATCCGGGCCCCTGGGAGTTCTGGCTTCGAAGAAGGCTAAAGACGGGTCGAAGAGCCGCAGTCGCCGGCGATGGCGAAAAAGCAAAGCCAAAGGTGAGCCGGCGGCAGCCCGGAAGGAACTTCGCACCTCCGGAGGGGTACTAGAGACTGAGTGGACGGACCCACTGCCACGAGGGGGGGGGCGTGGACTGGCCCACTGTCGTCCTGCGTGGGGGACGAGCCCTTGTGAGGAAGGGGGTGATGTGAGAGCCGAGGGTGCTTAAGGATTACCGGACGCCCCCTTCCCCTCCCCAGGCCGGGGTGTCCCCTCTGCGGTTCCGTTTTCGTAGAGTGACCAAGGGTAACCGCTGCCCTCTCTCTGTGTTTCCTTGCCTTAGGAAATTATCCAAGCGCCGATTTTCAGGTCTCTAGCACCCCTTGAGAAGATCATGGGGAAGGGTAATAATTTAGCATCTGTTGCTGAAAGGGGAAGTTGACGGGTGAGTCAGGGAAAGGTAAGAGGAAGGGGTGCCTTGTAGTAGGGAAATGTTTGGAGGCCAAAACAGCTCATCACCAACTCTTCCTCCTACCCCCCTCCCCAAGTCCATCCATCCATCCAACCCTTCGTTGTCAGTCTACCTACCTCATTCAGGCTGCCCTGCCCTGGGCTGGGCTGGCTTAGGCCCATCTCTAAGGAGAAAATAGGGCCACATCATCTGGGTCCCCTAGAATCTCAGAAGACTGGGGAAAGGATGACAGACCAACAGGTGTTACAAAGCTTCAGGAAGGGACAATGACCTGGCTCCCTAGCCCCAGGGACCCCAAGTTCATTCTCCTTACCTACATCATTAGCCAAGGGTAGAAGGACAGCTTGCCCCAGAGCCTAAGCACAGGCTGTGACAAGCTGAGATTCGCCTGAGAGCTCTGCCTGTCACATTGAGCTTCCCTGCAGGACAGCTTACCTAGAGGCAGGACAGACCCAGATTCAAGACCCATTTCCTCAGGCTGTGAGCTGGGAAGCCCTGGGCTGCTATCTAAAACACACATGGTTGGCTGTTGTAACGTTCAAATGCATGAGTAGGGTTTAGCATCCCCCCCCCCAACAAGCCCTCAGGAGGGGTGGACCTGATTCTTACTGCTGGCTCCCCATTAAAAAAGTGAACTCCCCAAGAAAGGGGCTGTTTCTGCTTTGTTTACCCTAAGATTGCCTGGAATGCCAGGCACAGAAGCACTCAGAATGTTTCTTGGATTAATAAGTGAAGGAATGTGTGAACCGTGACATAGGAATATTAATAATCAGGCGTCCGAAAGGTTGTTGGGAGGTGTCAGAAAGAATCTGCTTGGGTAGGACTCCCTGCTCAATGCTCAGCCAGTCCTACTCACAGATTTATGCACCTACCTACTCAACAGAGGCTTATTCTCACCAACTCTGTTATCTGCCTGTCATTTCCTGGGGCCCTCTCTGGTGCCAGGACTCCAGCCTGGTGAATCAGACCTGATCATTGGCCCAAAGGCGCCCGTGTGTGCCAAAGAAGAACTTGATCCTGCCAGTAACTGGACGAGGCTTAGTGTCATTATGGTCACCCCATTTCCCAGATAACAAAACTGAGACACGTGAGCCTCCTTCAGGCAAGGAGGAATCATGAGTTGGCAGTCTCAGTTGGGTGTCTCAATCTTGATTTGTGAACTTAGAAGTTTCTAATCACTCAGATTCATCCAGCTGATATTCACTGGGTACCTAATACTGCCAGGCCCTGGGCTCCCAGGACAGACTTGGTGGAGCCAAGAACATAGATATGAAGCATGTAAAACTATTGCCTTATTTGTTGGTAAATAGAACCCAAGGAAAATCCTGAGGAAATGAAAGAGGAGATGATGACACTGGACTCAGGCACGGGCAGGTGTTAGACACTGAGCAAAGGGGTCAGAGAGAGAGAGTGAGGTGTGGGGAAGCAGTCCTAGATGGTACACAGGAAACTCAGAGCAGGAGGGAGGAGGGTCACAGGAAGCTGAGGTGGGCAGGGTAAGAGAAGAGAGGGGAGCCTGGTTTGGGTTTGCCATGTCCAGGATTTAGAGCTTGATCCTAGGAGTAAGGGAGGGGGAGTGTGAATTCAGATTTGTTTTCAAATGTCCCACTGGCTGCTATGCAGAGGGAAGTCAAAGGCACATCCAGGGCTTTGCAGTTGTCTGCACGAGGATGCTACAGTATAGTGGGGGGGGGGAGGTGGGAGGAGGCCCTAGTGTTACTATAGGAGGCAGAATGGCCACTGATTGATGGACTGGATGGGGGAAGGATGGGGAAGGTGGCCAGCCAAAATGATTCCCTTAGTTTCAGCTAGAGCAGTGAGGTAATATACACCACATACTCTCTCTCTCTCTCCCTCTCTCTCTCTCTCTCTGTTCTCTCTCTCTCTCTCATCATTTCATAAGGTAAAAAATACACAGAGATCATGACACTTGCATACAAAACACATACCTTCAGACATATCAAGCCTTAGGAAAGAATACCTGCCTTGCTCTATCGCTGGCATCCAGGCCCTTTAAGCCAAAAAGCTTGATTGAGCCCAGTCATCTGGACACCTTCCTTCCAGGCTCTCTCAGCTTTACCTTTGCCCCATTCATGCCATGTTCATCCATAGTCCCAGTAGGCCTGCCTTTGCCCCAATACCCTCTGCTTAGAGTTCTTAGTAAGTTTCTGGCAACTTTGGCATTCATTCTTTCTGGTTCCAGGCAGCTCAACCTCAGGGAGCCTCCAGAAGCAGAGCAGAGGGCAGAGTCAGGCAGCCACCAGGGCCTGGGGGGTCCTGCCCTTCCCCATCAATCACTGGTTCTGTGGGAGGCCTCCTCCTCATCTTTAATAAAGACCCCCTTCCTTGGTTTCCCCATAAGTGGGGTCAGAGTGGCCGCAGGTGAGCTGTGATGGATGAGAATGGCCAGGGTGGGAAATGCATGAGACTGGGTTTAGAAAATGAGAAGTTAAGGTGTCAGCTAGCATTGTGCATCAGGTACTGTTTCAGAGTTAAAATTAGGGCTGGGAAATGTGGCTCAGTGGTAGAGTGCTTGCCTAGCATGCACAAAGCCCTGGGTTTGATTCCTTAGTACCACATAAACAGATAAAAGCTGGAAGTAGTGCTATGGCTCAAGTAGTAGAATGCTAGCCTTGAGCAAATGAAGCTCAAGAACAGTGCCCAGGCTCTGAGTTCAAGCCTCAGAATTGGCACAAAAAAAAAAAAAAGTTAAAATTAGGCTGGACACCAGTGGCTCCCGCCTGTAATCCTAGCTACTCATGAGGCTGAGATCTGAGGATCATGGTTCAAAGCTAGCCTGGGCAGGAAAGTCTGTGAGACTCCCATCTCCAATGAACTAGCAGAAAACCAAAAGTGGGGGCTGGGAAGGTAGCTCAGCAGTAGAGTGCATGCCTTGCAAGCATGAGGCCCTGGGTTCGATTCCTCAGCACCACATAAGCAGAAAAAGCCGGAAGTGGTACTGTGGCTCCAGTGGTAGAGCGCTAGCCTTGAGCTGAAGAGCTGAGGGACAGCGCCCAGACTCAGAGTTCAGGCCTCATGGCCGGCAAAAAAAAAAAGAAAACCGAAAGTGGCGCTGTGTCTCAAAGTAGTAGGGCACTAGCCTTAAGCTGAAGAGCTTAGACCAGCATCCAGGCCCAGAGTTCAATCCCTACGACCACCAAAAAAAAAAAAAAAGTTAAAATTAAACAGGTGGCCCGTCCCTCTGAAGGCCTAGAATCTAATCTAATGTTAAATCGTGACTCGGAGAAAAATGACACAACCCAGCAAGTACAGGTATGACTCTCACCTGTAATCAGCCGTACTCTGAAGGCTGAGATCTGAGGATAGGCGCACGTATGTGCGTGCGCACACACACAGACACACAGACACAGACACACACACACACACACACACACACACACAGAGGCAAACCCCAAGGGAGCAAGCCATGAGCACAAATGCCTCCTTCCTGTAGCATGCATATGACCCTGAGTTCTATCCCCAGGATCACAGAAAGAGAGAGAGAGAGAAGGGAAAGGAGAGGGGAAAGAAGGAAGGGAAGGGGAAGGGAGAAGAGAAAAGGAGGTGTGAAGGGAAGGGAGGGGCCAGGCCACCCAGGAGGTGCTGCTCACAAAGCACACCGCCAGCCAGATTAGGCAGAATGGCCAAGTTTCCAGGTGAGGAAACCTCGCTCCTCCAAGGTCACTTAATGAGTCAGCTGGTCCTGTCCCTGCAGTCAAGCTTAATCCCCTCCTGCCCTTGTAGTCTATGTGTGTTTGCTGGCTCTGGGGAGGGAGGTGTTCCTATTCCAAGCAACCATCCATCTTTGGCCTTCATTGCCTCTTCATACCCTCCTTCCTCCTCCAGCCATTTGCTGTGTTAGGCCCTATGATTGGAATCAGGGCTGCCTTACTTGTCTTCCTTCACCAGGCTGAGCGTCTGTGGCAGACACGGAGGAGTAGCATACAGCCAGGCAAATGGTGCGTGCAGGCTTCAGGACCTCATTCCTGCAGCTTCATCGCAATCACCACACTATACTTATACTTTTCTTTCCTTTTTTTTTGGGGGGGGGTGTTAGTCATGGGTCTTGAACTCAGGCCCTGGGCACTTGTCCCTGAGCTTCTGTGCTCAAAGCTAGCCATCTACTACTTTGAGCCACAGCTCCACTTCTGGTTTTCTGGTGGTTCATTGGAGATAAGAGTCTTATAGACTTGGCTAGGCGGGCTGGCTTTGAACCATGATCCTCAGATCCCAACCCTCCCGAGTAGCGAGGATGACAGGCGTGAGCCACCAGCACCCACCTCCTGGACCTCAATTTGTATTTGTAATTTTGTCATCTTCCTAAAGATCCATACCCTCTGCCTTATAAGCTTGATGAAAGTACAAAGTACCCAGTTGAGGTGCACCTGTAGCCAGGGCCCCAAGTTGAGTGTGGCTGTGTGTTCTTAATCAGCTTTTGTCTTCCTACAAGGGAGAAGCGGGGCTGGCCTATCTCCTCCTAACAGCTGAGGGATCCCCGTGCCAAGGCCAGCCTAAGGGTAGGAGCTGAGATCATTGGAGCTTTGGTGCCTGAGTCCACTCTGGGGAGATGGAAGGCAGCCTGGCTGGGTGAGAGGGGACAGTGTATTAAGGACGAAAGGCTGTGGGACCTCTAGTCCTGAGGAAGGAAGAGGCAGGGCCTGGGTGCTTGCGTTCTAAGACAGGGACCAGCTAATGACAGTTTAGCTGAGGCTGAGATCAAGTAGGGGGGAAAGGGGCGGGGCGCTGGGCTCTGGGCTCTGTGCAGAACACGTGGCTCCCACTGTCCTTTCTGGATGGGAGGTGGAGCCGCTGGCCACACCCTGGGCATTCAGGCCCCTCCTGCAGTTTATCGCCCCAGGCTGCTACTGGCACAAGCCATAGACTAGCAGTTCCAGCCCCAGGGAGCTCCAGCTCCGAAGAGACCCGGGTGGGGTGAGTGCTGGGTCAGCCGAGAGACAGAAATGGCCATTCCTGGGCTGCAGAGCCCAGCAGGGAGAGGAGATGGTCTTTCCCAGGGACCAGGCAGCTCTAAGCCTGGGAGCCAGGCAGCTGGCACTGGGCTTTGGGTAGGAAAAGTGGGCAGAGTATAAGGCCAGACCTAGAGGCCCTGGCCTCCAGAGTTCAGGGAGGGAGAAACAGTCCCGGCATAAGTAGCAGAATTGAGACTACTGCTGTCCAAGCAACTTGCAGCTCCTTGACTTCCCCTCCTGTGAAAAGGGCAATAATGGGAATGGGCTGGAAGACTGAACTCCTTCAAATATCATTGAAGGGGAGGGAGAGCCTGTGGACCGACACCTGGAGTCCAAAGAAGGACACATAGGATGAGCCCGGATTCCCAGGTCTTGAGAAGAAACTGGCTGGTTGTCCCTTCTCAGAACCAAATAAGAAGTCCTGAGCCACCACCCCCACCACACCCCGAGATTAAACATGAGACAGGTATCCCAGGAGGCAGGCATTTGAACTCTTCACTCCTTAGAAGCAGGGCGTGGGAAAAGATGCAAGAGCTAGGGCACTGGGTCCAAAATTTCTGTTCCAAGAAAGAGGGAAGACCAAGACAAGCAGGCTGGAATCCCAGAGAACGTAGGATTCCATGAGTCTAAAAAAGAGAGGACTAGGCCGGGGCTCCTGAGTATGAGGACGGAGGGGACAGGGTTGGAGCTCCGGGCTCCTGAGAAGGGGGAAAGGCCCTGGGCAATGGGAAAATTTGTTCCTGAGGAACTAAAAGATTGAAGTCCCAGACTCCTGAGTCCTAGAGACAAGAGGCTGGGATGCAACTCCAGAACCAAACAGAGGGCCTTGGGGCTCCTGGATCTTTGAAACCTGAGCCCTGAGGGAGTTGGGGTGGGCCTGGATTGCTGGGCCCAGCTGAGCCAGGGGGGCACAAGGGGACCCTGTCTCACTGGCCTCCCCCGCCCTGCCCACAGCCTCACGGTTCTCGCACAACATGGACCTGCACAGCATCACACAGTCGCTGGTGACTCTGGCTGAAGACAACATGGCCTTCTTCTCAAGCCAGGGCCCCGGGGAGACGGCCCGGCGACTGTCCAGTGTGTTTGCAGGGGTGCGGGAACAAGCGCTGGGGCTGGAGCCGGCCTTAGGCCGCCTGCTGAGCGTGGCACACCTCTTTGACCTGGACGCTGAGACACCTGCCAATGGGTACCGCAGCCTGGTGCACACCGCCCGCTGCTGTCTGGCGCACCTGCTTCACAAGTGCCGTTACGTGGCTTCTAACCGGCGCAGCATCTTCTTCCGGACCAGCCACAATCTGGCTGAACTGGAGGCCTACCTGGCGGCCCTCACCCAGCTCCGGGCCCTGGCCTACTACGGGCAGCGCCTGCTAGCCATCAACCGCCCAGGGGGGCTCTTCTTCGAGGGCGACGAGAAGATCACCGCTGAGTTCCTGCGCGAGTATGTCACACTGCACAAAGGCTGCTTCTACGGCCGCTGCCTGGGCTTCCAGGTAAGGCCCTTGCCCCTTGGCCCTGCCGACCCCTACGGAGACACCGGTGATCCCTACCTTGGCCCTGTGCTATGGTAGAATAACCACGAGGGTGAGTGTTACAGGATTCAGAAAACGGCAGGTTACAGAAAGAAGTGGGTGGGAGCTCAGAGCTGGACTAAGGGTTCTCAAAGTCCTGGACCAGATCTGCTGTGTGGTAAGAAATCTTTTCAACAAATTCCCTCTTTGTTGTCTGGGAATCAGGCTATTCATTCGTGTGTGTGTGTGTGTGTGTGTGTGTGTGTGTGTGTGTGTGTGTGTGTGTGTGTGTGTGTGTGTGTCTCCTGGGGCTTAAACTCTGCGCCTGGGTGTAAGGCTAGTGCTCTACCACTTGAGCCACAGCTCCACTTCTGTCTTTTTGCTGGTTGGAGATAAGAATCTCACAGACTTTTTCCTGCCTTGGGCTGGCTTTGAACTTTGATCTTCCAGTGCCTGGCTGTTCATTTACTCTCTTTTTTTTTTTTTTTTGTCGGCCATGGGGGTTGAACTCTGGGCCTGGGCGTTGTCCCTCAGCTCTTCAGCTCAAGGCAAGCACTCTACCACTTGAGCTACAGCGCCACTTTCGGTTTTCTAGTGGTTTATTGGAGATAGGAGTCTCATGGTCTTTCCTGCCCGGGCTGGCTTTGAACTGTGATCCTTAGATCTCAGCCTCCTGAGTAGCTAGGATGACAGGCGTGAGCCACCAGCGCCCAGCTGTTCATTTACTCTTTATCTCTCCTATTTGGCCCCTGAAATTGTCTGATCTCACTGGCTGGGTGGTCAGTATTGCTCTTCAAGGCATGTTCTACATGAGGGCACCCTCTTGCCACCTCCACACCTGGAATTCTGCAGTGGGGGAGGGGGCCTGCCACAGCTGGCAGGCTGAAACCTGCGCTTTTTGAAGTTGCTGTGGAATCACAGGATTTTTTCCAGGCAGCCCTCCGGGCCAGGACAGTAAACCCATTAGAATTAATGACAAAGGGAAAGCTGGCTATGCTTTCTCTCCTCCCTGACCCTAGCCTTCTCATAGTTTTTGTCCATCCCCAACACAGAGAAAGACTCATTCATGCTGGGTGCTAGTGGCTCACACCTGTCATTGTAGCTGCACAGGAGTCTGAGATCTGAGGATCACGGTTCGAAGCCAGCCTGGGCAGAAATGTCCCCATGAAACTCTCATCTCCAGTTTACACTCAAAAACTAGAAGGGATGCTGTGACTCAAAGTGGTAGACCACTAGCCTTAAGTGAAAGAGCTCAAGGACAGCACCCAGGCCCCAAGTTCAAGCCCCACACCGACCAAAAAAAAAATGTGAAAAGTGATATGGCAACTCAGAATTGGGAGAGCACCAGGTTCAGCATAGAGATCCAAGTTGCTCCTGTGGGGTGTCCCTGGCTAGCCTCACAGTCCCCACCAGCTGCATCGGGAAACCCCAGCAGGAATATCTGGAGCTGTGTGACCATACAGTCCTTCCCCATCCTCTCTGAGCCTCCTTCCCCCTCACTGAGAGATAAACTGCACCCCTCACTCTACTTATCCAGACTTCCCTACAGGCCACCTCCCCCCACCTCCTCAGCAGCCTAGTTCCAGGGTGGAGGGAGGGCCCTGATTGCCTCTCCTCACTCCAGCCCAGCTCACAAGCACTGATCAGCCTAGCACAGCCTGCTGACACCTCTCCAGATCCTGGTACTACATTAGAGTCACAAGAAAGAACAAAGCTTCCCCAACCAGTACCCCTGTGCCCTCTGGCCTGCTGGGCCCTGAGCCAGGAGCACAGAACAGGGCCAGGTGCCAGCTGCTCTCGGTGGCACGGCTTCACTATAATGGAGGCCTGCCTCCCCCCTCTAAAACGCCATCCCCAAGAGGCTGGTTTCTGCTCAGCCCCTGCTCTAGCCCAAAGGATACCATGCTGTAGACCCTTGGTAAGGGTTGGCTGGTGAACACCCCTCCCCCCCTTTACCTCCTCCGCCTCCTCAGGCATAGTTTTCTCTGATGCTATCTCCTCATTGTTTTCCTAACTGCTTGGCCCTGTTCTGTTACCTGACTGGTGTCAGCCCCATCTCCAGGCCTCCAGCAGTCTCTCCCCACAGCTGTTTCTGCCCCAGGGATCTTCGTGTGCCCATCTGGCTATCTCTGATCAGGTCTCTATTTCTGGGTTCCTACGGCCCTCCCCTTCCCCCTTCCAACCTGTCCTCTCTCTGACTTTTGGGAAATCCCCACATGTTTTTACTCACAGCTCACAGCCCTCTAGTAGCTTTGCCCACGCAGGATTCCTCAGCCACAGGTCCTACATGAGACCCAGTTTGCTTCCCTGCCCTCCCTCACCCTTCTCCCTGGCTCACTCTGTTCCAGCCACACGGCACCCCAGCTTTCCATGCCTGGCACTGCTGCCCAGGTTTTTGCACCTGCTATGCCTTCAGGGACATGCGATGATGATGATGATGATGATGATGATGATGATGATGATGATGATGATGATGATGATGATGATTGGCCAGTCCTGGGGCTTGAACTCAAGGCCTGGGCACTGTCCCTGAGCTTCTTTTGCTCAAGGCTGGCCCTCTACCACTTGAGCCACAGGGCCACTTCTGGCTTTTTCTGTTTATGTGGTGCTGAGGAATCAAACCCAGGGCTTCATACATGCTAGACAAACACTCTACCACTGAGCCACATTCCCAGCCCCTGTATGATATTAGTTTACAAACATACTGTTTGTTTTTTGTTTTGTGCTGGTTCTGGGGCTTGAACGCAGGGCTTGGATGCTTCTGTCCCTGAGCTTTTTTTGCTCAGGGATAGTGCTCCACTACTTGAGTCACAGCTTCACTTCCAGCGTGTGTGTGTGTGTGTGTGTGTGTGTGTATGTGTGTGTGTAATTGGAGATAAGAGTCTTGCAGACTTTCCTGCCCTGGCTGGCTTCAAACCCACAAGCCTCAGCCCCCTGAGTGGCTAGGATTCAGGCGTGAGCCATTGGGCTTTTTTTCTTTTTTTAGTCGGTCATGGGGCTTGAACTCTTGGCGGCCTGAGCGCTGTCCCTGAGCCCTTCAGCTCAAGGCGTGCACTCTACCACTTGAGCCACAGTGGCACTTCCCATTTTCTAAATGGTTTATAGGAGATTAGAGTCACAGCCTTTCCTGTCAGGCTGGCTTTGAACTGAGATCCTCAGATCTCAGCCTCCTGAGTAGTAGGATTACAGGTGTGAGCCACCAGCACCCAGTTCATTGGGCATCTTTATTTGCTTAGCATCTCCCTTCCCTTGGAGATCACCACGTCTATGAAGGTGCCCAGAGCCATGCCCAGCACACAGTAGGGTCCTGCCATCTCTGCCCTTTGCAGCTCACCCATCTCTCCACAGTTCACGCCCGCCATCCGGCCGTTCCTGCAGACCATCTCCATTGGGCTGGTATCCTTTGGGGAGCACTACAAACGCAATGAGACAGGCCTCAGTGAGTGCTAGCCGGGCTCTGCCTACCACCTCCCTTCCTGTCCCTCCTCCCCAGCTTGACCTGCTGAGAGGGGGGCTCCCTGACATCCTTCCCGACCCCCCCCCAGGTGTGACCGCCAGCTCCCTGTTCACCAGCGGCCGCTTTGCCATCGACCCAGAGCTGCGCGGGGCCGAGTTTGAGCGGATCATACAAAACCTAGATGTGCACTTCTGGAAAGCCTTCTGGAATATCACAGAGATCGAAGTGCTGTCGGTGAGCATGGGGCCCTGACCTGTTATCGATGGGGACCGCTCCCCTCACCCAATGCCCCAGAGACCCATCTCAAACCACCGTGGTGACTGCAGAACCCCCGGGGAGGGGCATGTGAGGGGAAAGATGGAGCAAGGTGATGTGCAGGGCACCCCTCCACAGGCTGTCCCTGCCCAACACCCCTCTGTACCCCCCTCCCACCCCCAGTCTCTGGCCAACATGGCATCAGCCACAGTGAGGATAAGCCGCCTGCTCAGCCTGCCGCCCGAGGCCTTTGAGATGCCACTGACCTCTGACCCCAAGCTCACTGTCACCATCTCGCCTCCCTTGGCCCACACAGGCCCTGGGCCTGTGTTGATCAGGCTCATCTCCTATGACCTGCGGGAAGGACAGGTATGGATGGCCCTGGCCATGGCCCAGCATGCCCTTCCTCCCATTCCCCCATCTTGGAGGCTCCGGGCCCAGGTCGGCCCAGCCCAGCCTCACCCCACCGCCCTCCTCACTCCCAGGACAGCGAAGAACTCAACAGCCTGGTGAAGTCCGAAGGGCCTCGGGGCCTGGAGCTGCGGCCACGGCCCCAGCAGGCCCCCCGATCGCGCTCCCTGGTAATACACATCCACGGCGGGGGCTTCGTGGCCCAGACCTCCAGATCCCACGAGCCCTACCTCAAGGGCTGGGCCCAGGAGCTGGGGGCCCCCATCGTCTCCATCGATTACTCCTTGGCCCCTGAGGCCCCCTTCCCCCGGGCGCTAGAAGAATGCTTCTTTGCCTACTGCTGGGCCGTAAAGCACTGTGCCCTGCTCGGTGAGCCCCGCCCCCTTCCCTCCCCACCTCCAGACTCCTGACCCCCCCCCTTTCCCTCCCCACCATCAAGTTCCTCCTCCCATCTCTTTCCCCTGGCTTTAGCCCCTCAGCCTGTCCTGTGAGACAGGCTCCTTTTTCTAATTTTCATTTTCCTGAGATACTAGATATTGGGGGCAGGGTAGGGGTTGAACCCAGGGCCTCATGCTTGCTAGGTAAGTCCGTGCCTCCTTTGAACCACACCCTCAAGCCTTTTTGTGTATTGTTTTGTCAGTTGTGGGGCTTGAACTCTGGGCGTTGTCCCTGGGCTCTTCAGCTCAAGACAAACGCTCTACCACTTGAGCCACAGCACCACTTCCAGCTTTCTAGTGGTTTATTGGATATAAGAGTCTCACTTTCCTGCCCAGGCTGGCTTTGAACTGTGATCCTCAGATCTCAGCCTCTTGAGTAGCTAGGATTACAGGCGTGAGCCACCAGCACCTGGCTTTTTTGTGTATTTTTTTGTTTAGGTTTTCTTCTCTCTCTCTCTTTCTCTCTCTCTCTCTCTCTCTTTTTCTGTCTCTGTCTCTCTCTCTCACTCTCTCTCTCTTTTGGTCAGTCTTAGGGCTTGAACTCAGGGCCTGAGCACTGTCCCTGAGCTTTTGTGCTCAAGGCTAGTGCTCTACCACTTGGTGCCACAGCTCCACTTCTGGTCTTTTGGTGGTTCATTAGGGATAAGAGTCTCACTAACTTCTCTGCCCCAGCATGATCCGCAGATCTCAGCCTCCTAAGTAGCTGGGATTACAGGTGTGAGCTACTGACACCCAAGCCATAAAATACCTTTTTTGGGGGGGAGGGTGGGGGCTGGTCCTGGAGCTTGAACTTGGCTTGGGAGCTGTCCCTGAGCTGCTTTTTGCTCAAGGCTAGCGCTAACACTTGAGCCACAGCACCACTTCCAGCACTTCCTGTGATTAACTGGAGATGAGTCTCACAGACTTTTCTGCCCAGGCTGGCTTTGAACTGCGATCCTCAGATCTCAGCCTCCTGAGGAGCTAGGATGATAGATGTGTGAACTACCAGCACCTGGCAAAATACCTACTTTCAAAAGATCAAATAGCAACTTGCTAGATCTCGGGGGGGACCCCTCACTCCCCCTGAGAGCCCAGCTTTCCTAGCTCAGAGTACAAGCCCCTTCCTGCCCGCTTGCCCTCTCTCCCTGGCAGGCTGTAACCAAGTCTCTTTCTCCCCAAACTAGGTTCCACGGGGGAAAGGATATGCCTGGCAGGGGACAGCGCAGGCGGGAACCTCTGCTTTACTGTGTCCCTTCGGGCAGCCGCCTATGGGGTACGGGTGCCAGATGGCATCATGGCCGCCTACCCCGTCACCACGCTGCAGTCCGCCGCCTCTCCCTCCCGCCTCCTGAGCATCATGGACCCCCTCCTGCCCCTCAGTGTGCTTTCCAAATGCGTCAGCGCCTATTCGGGTGAGACCGAGACCCACGTGGGCAGGACAGGGCAGTGCAGGTGTTGGGAACACCTTGCTGTAGCCACGAGGGCAATCCGAGGCTCCTCATTTATTTATTTATTTATTATGTCAGCCATGGGTCTTGAACTCCAGGCCTATGTGCTGCCCCTGAACATTTTTGCTCAAGGCGAGCATTCTACCGCTGAGCCACAGCACCACTTCCAGTTTTCTGGTGTTTAATTAGAGATAAGAGTCTCGGGCTGGGAAGTTGGCTCAGTGGTAGAGCGCTTGCCTTGCATGCCTGAGGCCCTGGGTTCAATTCCACAGCACCACATAAGCAAAAAGAAAAAAGCCGGAAGTGGCGCTGTGGCTCAAGTGGTAGAGCGCTAGCCTTGAGCTGAAGAGCTGAGGGACAGTGCCCAGGCCCAGAGTTCAGGCCCCACAACTGGATAAAAAAAAAAAAAAATAAAAAATAAATAAATAAATATATAGAGATAAGAGTCTCATGGACTTTCCTGCCCAGGCTGGCTTTGAACCATGATCCTTAGATCTCAGCCTCCTGAGTAGCTAGGATGACAGATAGGAACCTCCCAGCACCCAGCTCCTCAGTCCCTTAGAAGGGATCTCAGTGGTAGACTGCTTGCCTTGAATGCATGAAGCCCTGGGCTCAATTCCTCATAAACAGAAAAAGCTGGAAGTGGCGCTGTGACTCAAGTGGTAGAGCACCTACCTTGAGCTAAAGAGCTGAGGGACCGAGCCCAGGCCCAGAGTTTAAACCCCACGACCGACCAAAAAAAAGGGGAGAGGGGATCAGACATTTTGGGGTCCCTTGGGGTGCAGACAGCTGAAGTTCTGGGTGTTAGGGATGGTGACTAGAAGAGACCAACTCCGCAGGTGCAGAGACAGAGGACCAGTCTGACTCGGACCAGAAAGCCCTGGGCATGATGGGGCTGGTGCGGCGGGACACGTCCCTGCTCCTCAGAGACCTCCGCCTCGGTGCCTCCTCATGGCTCAACTCCTTCCTGGAGCTGAGCGGACGCAAGTCCCAGAAGTCTTCCATAGCCCCAGTAGGTGAGTAACTGGCCTGGCCAGTCCCAGGCTACCCCAGTCAGGCTGGCCCAGGTAAAGGACCTGGAAGCGGGGAGGAGAGGCTGAGCTCCTGGACACTCAGACCATCTGGAGTCAACCCCATAGTCATCCACTGTCACAGGAACTGCTTTCCAAATGGCCTTTCCTGGAGAGGTCCACACCCTGGGCGGTGACTCAGAAGTGCCAGATCTCCTGATGGTCCAGCCCAGAAACTCCACCTAAGGCTCCTGTGCCCTCGGTTCAGGATCCAGACCAGACACAAACTTTGTGTGTGTGTGTGTCAGTTGTGGGGCTTTAAGTGTGAGTTTGGGCGCTGTCCCTGAGATCTCAGCTCAAGGCTACCACTTGGAGCCACAGCGCCACTGCTGGCTAGTTGGAGAGTCTCATGGACTTTCCTGCCCAGGCTGGCTTTGAATCACAATCCTCAGATCTCAGCCTCCTGAATAGCTAGGATTATAGGCGTGAACTACTGATGCCCAGCTTTTTTTTTTTTTTTCCTATTGCCCATCCTGGGGCTTGAATTCAGGGTCTGGGCACTGTCCCTAAGCTTATTTTTGCTCAAGGCCAACTCTATCACTTTGAGCCACAGTGCCATTTGCAGCTTTCTTCATAGTTAATTGGTGGTAAGAGTCTCACAGACTTGCCTGTGGTCCTCAGATCACAGCCTCCTGAGTACTAGGATTCCAGGTGCCCCTAGAGACTCTTGTTTGTTCTCCAGCTCTGTTACTCTAGTCCCTTCAATACATTCACAGCAAACACTGACTGGGCCTCCTGCTGGGGGTCCCCAGGCAGCTGAAATTGGGAGGACACAGGTCAGGCAGCAACCTCCCTAGATCTATCTCCACCTCCTAGACTTCTTACCTGGCTCACACAGGCCAAGGACTGCTTCCATCCCCTTTGTCCTGAGGCTCCCAGAAATAAATTGATTCACACTTCCCACCATACACACACACACACACACACCTGTGCCAGGCCATCGCCCAACTGCAACAGATTGGCAAACTTCCACAGCTAGAGGCTAACAAACAGCCAGGCTTGTAACAACCCCCTGTAGTCCCGGATTCTGCCCCTCCCACAGAGTCTATGCGCAGGAGTGTGTCTGAAGCTGCCCTGGCCCAGCCCGAGTGCCCGCTGACCCTGAAGGAACTGAGCCTGAAGGGCAGCTCCGAGGCGACGGATACCCCAGAGATGTCCCTGTCTGTGGAGACACTCGGTCCCAACACACCCTCCGATGTCAACTTCTTCCTGCGACCCGAGCACCCACGGGAAGAAGATGAGGTCAAGGAGGAGCTGAACCCCAAGGACAGAAGCCAGGGAGTCAGCAACGCCTTCCCTGAGGGCTTCCACCCGAGGCGCTCCAGCCAAGGAGCCATCCGCATGCCCCTCTACTCTGCGCCCATCGTCAAAAACCCCTTCATGTCGCCTTTGCTGGCACCGGACAGCATGCTGAAGACCCTGCCACCCGTGCACATGGTGGTGAGCCTGGGGCAGGGCGGGAGCCACTGCGGGAGGGGGCGGGGCCAGGCCTGGAGGCACAGGTGTGCCATCAAGACACAGAACCTGAGGGACCAGGAGGATGACACAGGGGCTGCCCATTATAGTCATATGCCCAAGGGCCTTAGAAGGTTGTTGGGTCCCAGTGGTGGTGTGGCTTGTGCTAAAAAGCCAACTGAGAGCAATGAAGCCCTGAGTTCAAGTCCTGCTACCAGTACTAACAAAAGAAAGAAGTGGGCTGGGATGTAGCTCAGTGGCAAAGCGCAATATCCTGGGTTCGGTCCCCAGTACCAAAAAAGAAAAGACACCCCCCCAAAAAAAAATATACAGTTAAAAAGAAAGAAAGAAAGTAGCCTGGTGCTGCTGGTGGGCCACACCTATAATCCTCACTACTCTGGAGAGGAGATCTGAGGATCGCAATTTGAAGCCAGCCCACGAAGGAAAGCCTGTGAGTCTCTCTCTCTCTTTTTTTTTCTTTTGTCCGTCATGGGGCCTGAACTCTGGGCCTGGGCACTGTCCCTCAGCTCTTCACTCAAGGCTAGTGTTCTACCACTTGAGCCACAGCGCCACTTCTGGCTTTTTCTGTGTATGTGGTACTTTTGAGGAATGGAACCCATGAGGCCCATGCATTTGAGGCAAGCACTCGACCATTGAGCCACCTTCCCAGCCCCAAGCCTGTGAGTCTCTTATTTCCCATGAACCACCAAAAAAGCTAGAAGCAGAACTGCGACTCAAGTAGTAGAGCGTCAGCCTTGAGCGCAAGAGCTCAGAGACAGCGTTCAGGCCCTGAGTTCAAGCCTCAGGAATGGCAAACACACACACACACACACACACACACACACACACCATGGAACTGAGCATTGGTATAGCTCCTAGCTACTCAGGAGGCTGAGATCCTAAGGATCACAGTTCAAAGCCAGCCTGGACCAGCATGGCCTTGAGACTCCTAACCTCCAATGCACCACTAGAAAACTAGAAGAGACACTGTGGCTCCCATGGTCGAGCAAAACAGTTCAGGAACAGCGCCCAGGCCCTGAGTTCAAGCCCCAGGACCGACAGAAAACAAAAAGGGGTGAGGGAGTGAAAGCTTGGGTCCAAGGCGGGAAGGGAGGGGACAGGACCCCGGTCGGGTCCGGGGCTCCAGCTGACTCACTCTCCCCCCCCCTCCCCAGGCCTGCGCCCTGGACCCCATGCTGGACGACTCGGTGATGTTCGCACGGCGGCTGCGCGGCCTGGGGCAGCCGGTGACGCTGCGCGTGGTGGAGGGGCTGCCGCACGGCTTCCTGAGCCTGGCGGCGCTGTGCCGGGAGACGCGCCAGGCCACCGAGCTGTGCGTGGAGCGCATCCGCCTGGTGCTCAGCCCGCCGCCCGCCGCGCCGCCGCCCTGAGCCGGGCCGGAGGGGGAACCGGGGGACCGGGAGGGGAGGGAGGGGGCCGCACTAAAGTCCTCTGGCTCCCACCCGCGCCCGCCTCCGTGGTGAATGCGCCCCGGGGCCCCTCGGATGGGGAGCGGGGCGGGCTGTGCCTTAAAGGGGTGGGGGGGGCGGGGGAGGGTGGATGGGGCGGGGGAAGCCCTGACCCCCGCCCGGGCCGCCGCGCCGCTAATTCCCCGCCGCAGGTCACCTTTTGTAAATAAAACTATTTAATTCGTTCGGCCTCTCTGCGTGTGGGGGTGTGTCCAGCAGGGGGCAGCACCAGACTCAAGCCACTGAGAATAAAGGCGGGGGGTGTTGGGGTGGAGGGGGACCCCAGGCCCATTTACTCCCAGACACCCCACCCCATACACACACCCCTCCTCCTGGGTTGGGCTCCCCGTGTACCAGACTCCTCTTTTATCCTCCCAACCCCAAATCCTGCAAGTATCAGCCCCACCCACCCGTGACTCTTCCCTTCACCTGGATCTTGCAGGAGAAGGTTTCTTACCCCACTGGCCTGCCCCCCCCACCTCCCCACCAGGGGCTTCTGATCCTGCATCCAGTGGTTGTGGGGGTGGCGGGGTCATTCGGAGGGCTTCACAGAGGTGAGCAGGGATTTGACCCACTTGGTAGGCAGAAAACCATGCCAGGCTGTGAAGATGGAGCAGGTTGTGATGGAGGCCTCTGTCCCACCAGCTCTGGTGAGCAGCAGATGGCAGGGACTGAGCCACTGGATACCGGTCTGCAGCAATGAAAGGGATGAGGGATCATTGGTGGGCCTTGGTGTCAGAGTTGGGAGGAATTCCTATTTTAATCCTGCCAGGAAGGAAGAATGGAGATGCAAATCCCAAAAGTTTCCTGATGGGGAAGGCAGAGGATCCTTCCTCAGAGGCCCTCATTCAACCAAGTCTCTTTTCTGTTCTTTTTTCTTTTTCTTTTTTGTCTGTCATACTGGGGGGTCTTTGAATTCAGGGCTTTGCACTTGCTAGGCAAGGGCTCTCCCACTTAAGCCATACCTCCAGCCATTTTAGGGTTAGGTTATTTCTCAGGTTCTTACTTTTTGTCTAGGGCCAGCCTCAGACCACGCTCCTCCTACCTATGGCCTCTCTAGCTGAGATGATAGGCCTGGCTTATTGATTTAAATAGGGTCTCCCAACTTTTTTGGCCCCTGATGTCCTTGCACCACTATGCTCCTGATCTCTGCCTCCCAAGAAGATGCGGTGTACGTAGCTTGCTCTGACTTGCTCTGAGGCCTGACTCTGGGCCTGGGCGCTATCCCTCAGCTCTTCAAGGCTTGCGCTCTACCACTTGAGCCACAGAGCCACTTCCAGTCTTCTGGTGGTTCACTGGAGATAAGAGTCTCACAGACTTTCCTGCCCAGGCTGGCTTTGAACCATGATCCTCAGATCTCAGCCTCCTGAGAAGCTAGGATGACAAGCGTGAGCCACCAGCACCCAGTTTTTTCTTTCTTTTTTCTTCTCTGGCTTCTTCCCTTCAGCCTCTTTCCCTAATCCATGCTCTCCAGCCCAGGCCCCTGCCCAGAGCCACCTCCTGGGCTACTGGCTTCTAGTTTCATTTCTCCAGCTATAGTTTTCAGCTCAGACCTGGCCCACCCCTGCCCTAACCCATTTCCACAATCCCCCCCCCCCCCCCACTACCAGGAGAAATCGCAAGCTCTTCATCCTGAATTCTACCCCCCATCTCATCTTCCAGCCTTCTGGCTTTCCCTTCTAGAGGCTGAAACACCCCACCCTTCTTCACCTTTGCCTGGTACCTAGTGCTCCTTTCAAGACGGCCCCTCCCCTGGAAATCCTTCCCTGGCCACGTCATTCTCCAAAAATTCTCGTGCCCCTTCACACCCTCTATCCATCAGTGTCTCACCTCTCTTCTGAACCCGGGATCCTGGAGGGCAGAGCCCAGGTCTGACTCACCTGGATACCACAGCACCTAGCACCAGGCCTGGCACAACCAGAAGTCTCAGGAATTATTTAAGTAAGGGGTGAGCAGTGAGTGAAGGGCTGTATGAGAGAATCAGTGTGGAAATTCATGAAGGCAGAAAGGACTAAGCTGCATGGAGCAGAACAGGCCTGACAATCAGGCTTCGAATGGGAGGAACGGATGGATGAATATCTGAGATCATGCATCCCTGGGCTTCGGTCCTCCAAAAAAACAAAATGGGTGTGCCTTGCTGAATGCCCTTCCATCTTAAACCCCACGGGTTCTAGTCTTAGCTATGTCTAGAATCCCTCTACTGGTCGTTCCGGAAAGGGCTTACACTGGCCCAGACCTGCGCAACTGGTTTCCACAGGAGCCTCGCTGAACCAGACCCAGCAGGTTCTCAGTCCACTATTGGTAAACTGCAAGAGACTGACATCTCCGAGAGCCTATCGCAACCCGACCTTGGGCTTTAGGACACGCCCTCTCCGGAAAAGTGCCTTGAGTAGCCTGAGAAGGTGTGAAACTGAATGTCTATTGGCTGGATGATGTGGAGTGACGTCACGGACAGCTTATCGCAGCTCGATTCCAAAGGGGCTGGCGGCTTGAGGGCGTGGCCTCGAATGGGGTACCTGGCGGCTCCTACCTGAGCTCATTGGTGGCTTTGGACCCTTGGGAGAGGATGGGGATTCAAAGAGCTCAGACTCCTAGATCTTAAAAAAAGAGAGGGATTTAGAATCCGAGGAAGGAGGATTAGAGGCGTGAGGTATCTGGACTTTTTTTTTTTTTTTTGGGGGGGAGGAAGCTGGGAACATAAAAGGTCAAGGTCAAAGTTTAGGATCCAGGTCCTGAACTCCTGTGTACCAAAAGTCATTGGCCCTGCCCAAGGATGACAGATTCTAGGTTCAGGGGTTTTATGATTTTTTTTAAAATGGATTGAAGCCCGGCCTTGCCCCCACGCAAGTGTCCTGAAACTCAGACTGAAGGTGGAAAGGGGAGGGAAGTTTGGCCTGGCTATGCCCTCTCTCCATCCCTACCAGGAAAGCCCAGGAGCACGGTGAAGCCTGTAAAAGGAACCCAGAGAAAGGGAGGAGACTGAAAGACTCACTGGGATCCAACAAGAAAAACACAGATACCAATCGAGAGCCGAAAATAATAAAAACAATAACAGCTCTATGAAACTGAGTTTACTGCGGCCTGCGTTCTGAGCTAAGCATTTTACAAAATTAACTCATGTCTTCCTCATCACCAGTCTCGGAGATTACATGATGGTGGTGATGATGATTATTATTCCTCATTTTACAAGGGGGAAAATTGTGGGCCAATGCAGGAGAATCAAGATGTAGATGGAAAATAAAAAAGGAGATAACGGATATAAAGAGAAGAGACCAAAACACAGATGAAGATAAAGAGATAAAAACAGGAAGAGGGGGGCTGATGCAGATCCTGTACAATAGGTGATTGTCCAGAACTGAGATTTTCTGGGGGGCGTGCTGGGAAATGGGATTCCCAAATCTTTTCTAGGGCAAATAGCACCAAGGATGGGAACTCTCAGCCCTTAACTTCCCTGACTCCCTGATACCAGGTAGTCCCATCTCTGTTGCTATGGTGTTTGAACTGGCTGGGGTCCAAAATAGTGATTAGGACGAGGTAGGTTTGTCATTATCCCATTAGGAGATGATAAGAAAGTGATTCATGTGGGCATCCCCAGCCTGGGAGGGGCTTTTCTTTCACAGCCTGTGCTCTTTGATCTGGACAGATCTGGTCTCAGAACTCGGGACAAGCAAGGCCCTTCCTCTCCCCCACTCTCCTATCTCTTCCTCTCCATCACTCAGACGTGTCACTGCATGGAGTCCATCATGGACACAGTGTCCTGGTGGGTCTTCATCTCTCTGAACCTCTACTCCAGATCTTGAATTGTTGATCCTTCCCCCCACTTCTTCTCTGTGCCCCTCCCCCAGGTTCTGACATATGGTGAGGGCTTACCAATGTAAGAATGTTTAGAAATGGATGGACAAGGGGCTGGGAAGATGGCTCAGTGGTAGAGTGCTTGCCTTGTATGCCTGAGGCCCTGGGTTCAATCCCTCAGTACCACATAAGCAACAAGAAAAAAGCCAGAAGTGGCACTGTGGCTCAAGTGGTAGAGCGCTTGCCTTGAGCTGAAGAGCTGAGGGACAGAGCCCAGGCCCAGAGTTCAGGCCCCATGACCAACCAAAACAAACAAACAACAACAACAACAAAATGGGTGGACAAGGACTGGGAAGGTGGCTCAGTGGTAGAGTGCTTGCTTTGCATGCATGAGGCCCTGGGTTTGATTTTTTTAGTACACATAAACAGAAAAAGCCGGAAGTGGCACTGTGGCTCAAGTGGCAGAGTGCTAGCCTTGAGCTGAAGAGCTGAGGGACAGCACCCACACCCAGAGTTCAAACCCCACACCCGACAAAAAAGAAAAAAAAAGAAATGGATGGACAAAGCCGGGCACTAGTGGCTCATGCATGCAATCCTAGCTACTCAGGAGGCTGAGATCTGAGGATCATGGTTCAAAGCCAACCTGGGAAGGAAGGTCTGTAAGACCCTTATCTCCAATGAACCACCAGAAACAGGAAGTGTAGCTGTGGCTCAAAGTGGTAGAGTGCTAGCCTTGAGTGAAAGAGCTCAGGGACAGTGCCCAAGCCCCAGACTTCAAGCCCCATGATGGGGTCAAGAAGGAGAGACAAAGAAATGGATAGAAAAACATCCTCTCTGTAGAGCTGTTTCTTTATCCCCACCCACCATCACCCTCTCCCAGAGAACCTAAGGCTCATTTTGGAAAGAGTGATGACCCCCAGGGATACCCAGTGGCCTGGAGAGAGTTTGCTTTTTGTTTTGTGCCAGTCCTGGGGCTTGAACTCAGAAGCCTGGGCACTGTCCCTGAGCTGCTTCTTTGTTTTTGCTCAAGGCTAGCACTCTATCACTTGAGCCACAGTGTCACTCCCAGCTTTTTCTGTCATGTGGTGCTGAGAAATCGAACCCAGGCCCTCATGCATGCAAGGCAAGCACTCTACCACTGAGCCACCTTCCCAGCCCACTCACCTGATGTTTTCTGTACCCATATAATCAGAGAGAAACACATAGAGCACATATGATAATGGCCTACAAACACAAATATAAGCATAAGCCCACAATCCTGGGATCCTAGGCAATGCCAAAAACATCCTATTCCACATGCAAAGCAGACGCCCCAGCTATGAGGTGACGTGCTTAGTCACAGCAAGCCACTAATGCAGTTCCTGCCAGAAGGAGTTCCAGGAAAGGTGTGTGTTTTTGTTCACTGTCATATCCGCAGCAACTAGCAGAACTCCTCCTCCTCCTCATCATCATCATCATGATCATCATCATCACAAACATGAAGCACTTCCTATGTGCCAGGCACAATTTATGTGCCCTTCACATGAATTAATAATGCACATGAATTAATTCATTAAATATGCTCTCACCAACTCTATTTGCAGCTTCTTTGTGTGTGTGTGTGTGTGTGTGTGAGAGAGAGAGAGAGAGAGAGAGAGAGAGAGAGATACTGGGGCTTGAACTCAGGGCCTTGTGCTCTGAGCTTTTCAGCTCAAGGCTGGCACCCTACCACTTGAGTCA